GGGGGGGGGGGGGGGGGGTAAGTTGACGGGCAGTCAGAGCGGATAGCTCTGACTGCATAATTTATTTATTACACTTACAAGAGGGAAAACAACCCCAAACCCGAGCAAGGCGGGCGCTGGGGAAGAAGAGGGGGGCGGGGGGGGTGTAAAGTGTCAGGCAGTCAGAGCAGATAGCTCTGACTGCGTAATTTATTTATTACCCTTACCAGTGGGAAGACAACCCCAAACCCGAGCAGGGCGGGCGCTGCAACACCAAGCGCGATTTCGAGGTTGGTCGCGGAAGATTCGCCCCGCTCGCCCGAGCTGAGTCTGTGTAGGACTGCTCCCCCATCCAAGTAGTAACCCACGCGGAACCTGATACGCATTTTATTTGATGTAAATAGTATGGGATTTGGGGAAAGGGGGGGAGGGGGAGGTGCAAATCAATAATAAATCAATAAAGCAAATAATTTCATAATAAGGTTGTAGGACTGCTCTCCCGTCAGGCAGTGACCTAGGCGGGACCAATTTATAAATAGCTTATAGTTCATTGATTTTAAAGAATAATTCGATGTTGCACTGCTGGGCTGCTCATATATTTAAAATTTTAAAGGGGGTCGTGGGGGAGGGGAGGGGGGATTCTCATTAGCACTGCAATTTCACGAACCTAGACTGGGGGTGGGGGGGGTGGTGGTTGGTGTGTGTGTGAGGTGGGGGGGAGGGAAGGGGGGGGGGGGTTGCTCCCGAATCTAGCGTGGCTGTAAGTGTGCGGCGTGGGTTCAGAGATTTAATGCACCTTGTCTGGTCAGTGTCATTACTGAGCTTTAATGAGTTTTAAGGCAACTTTTCTGGCCAGCGTGATTACTGAGCTTTTATACAACCTTTGTTTGGTCAGCTCTTGGATTTTTTGGAGTTTTAATAAATGCTCTTGACCAGGCAAGGGCTGCCCGAAAAGCCCTTTTAAGCAACCCTCGCTGTTTAAGATCAAAGGTTTATCCCGGTTTAAAATTATCTGCCGGTGAGATACAAAAAAGAGTTTGAGGAAAGATGTAATAACCGCAACAGAAATTAAATACTATTTGCTGTGCGGTGAGCAGCGAAGGGGAAGTCCCAGTCATCGGAGCAGCCCTGGATCTATTTTAAATGCTCTGTCACAGTGAGAGTACAAGTCTTCGCTTTTGACCGTCCGCCCACTGGTCAAGGTGGTCGGCATCGGAGCGCTGGCAACACCCCCCCCCATCTCCTCCCCTCCCACCCACACACACACACCCACACTCTCCTACTATCCGGGTGAGTGGCTTAAATTTTCAGCGGGAGAGAGAGAAGTGTTCGGAAGGTGAAAAAAGCGAAAAGTTCAAGTTAAAAAAATGTAAAAAATACTTTTAAAAAACCGTTCTGGAGGTGTAGTGTCAGCAAAACCAAAATTGGGCCAGGGCAAGAGCTAGAGTTAGGATGGGGAGAAAGGGGGAGGGGGGGGGGTCCTACCAGAGATGCAGCATCAGCAGCGTGACGAATCCTTTTAACGGCGGCCTTTGAATGAGCGGGTAGGGCCTGAAGTAGATGAGCGGGTTCCCGTTCTTATCCTGGTGTTATTGAATTGAATTTGAAACGCGAGCAAGTGCATTTCATTTTGTTTAAGGAGGGGTCAGGTGAGAAGCGAAGTGGCCTCCTTTAAAGAAAGAAAAAAAGAAGAAGAAGAAGAAAAACGGGCAAGAAGGGCAAAAATCGGGCCAAAAAAAATGGGAGGTGGGTGGGGGGGTGGGGTGGGGGGTGGGAGTAGGGAGTGGGGCAAAAAAAGGGCAAACAACAAATCAAAACAAAAACAAAAATATAATCGGGCTCCCGCCTCGTTCCTGCAGTTATGCCATCGTATAAAATAAAATAAAAATAGAGGTGGCATGAAGCCGCGTAGGCCCACCACCTGGGTGATGACTGGCTGAGCCCGTCCACACACTGGATTTGCCTGACTGCTGCTGCCTGTCTCTTTAAGTAAGTCGTAGTTGAAATAATAATAGAGGTGGCCTAGGCAAAATGCACGCCTCGGGGAATAGTATGATAGCCACGCACCTGTCGTGCCTGCTCGACGCTATCTATCAGGGATGGGATCAATAAGAGTAGTAAAAAAAATAGGTGCGTGCAGAATCAACAATTTAACAACAAAAGGGATATGGAAGAAATGCGTCTTTATTTAAAAAAACTATGATACTACGGAGAGACGACGCGGGGAGTAAGATAGCACATGAGACGACCGATGTGCTGACCCTCCCATGTCATGCCCGTACGCCTTCGGGCTGCAAGTCGGGGGACGTTAAAAGAACTACTATTAAAAAAAAGGGAAGATGATGTGATGTGTACCGTAGCCCACTAACGGCCAAAATGGAGGATGTGCCACTGAGTTTGCGACGAGGGCCCCGGGGGGAGCTGCTCGCACACACGCACACACACACACTCACTCACACACACTCACACACACACACTAACACACTAAACACATACACATACACTCTC